GCTTTTAGTTGGCTTTGGGTCCGTTCTTCAGGTGGTGGGGGCTCCGTTACCGCTTTTAGTTGGCTTTGGGTCCGTTCTTCAGGTGGTGGGGGCTCCGTTACCGCTTTTAGTTGGCTTTGGGTCCGTTCTTCAGGTGGTGGGGGCTCCGTTACCGCTTTTAGTTGGCTTTGGGTCCGTTCTTCAGGTGGTGGGGGCTCCGTTACCGCTTTTAGTTGGCTTTGGGTCCGTTCTTCAGGTGGTGGGGGCTCCGTTACCGCTTTTAGTTGCTTGGGTCCGTTCTTCAGGTGGTGGGGGCTCCGTTCTTAGTTGCTTTGGGTCCAGGTGGTGGGGGCTCCGTTACCGCTTTTAGTTGGCTTTGGGTCCGTTCTTCAGGTGGTGGGGGCTCCGTTACTGCTCAGCTGATAACTGCCATGCATTGTACTGCACACATTTGTAACACAACTGAATGAATACAAGATTTTATTGCGCTTTTATTAAAAAAAAAAAATAATAATAATAAGTTGCCTGGTTATAAAATGTGTGCTATGTTTATTGCCTCAGATAATGAACTAAACCCGGTTCACTGAAAAGCCATAAGATCTGCTTTAGGTGTGATGCTGTCACTTGTGGGAATGGGGATCGGATGGATTCCTAGAGCATGTTGCTATACTAATAGCCCTACAATGGTCAGTTACGTTCAACCCAGTTGAAGGACATTTTAAAGAAGACGTGTAACGGCTCATCATAATGTCTGGAATGGAGTGAATGGGTGCAATCCGGTTTTCCGAGCTGGTCATGGGTGCACCTCAGCCACGCTCAAGGTCCTAGACGATAATATAACCGTGATCGATAATAGATAGTACTGCACAGTCGTCTTCATCGACCTGGCCAAGGCTTTCGACTCTTGTCAATCACCGCATTCTTATTGGCAGACTAAATAGCCTTGGTTTCTCAAAATGACTGCCTCGCCTGGTTCACCGACTACTTCTCAGATAGAGTTCAATGTGTCAAATCGGAGGGCCTGTTGTCTGGACCTCTGGCAGTCTCTATGGGGGTGCCACAGGGTTCAATTCTCAGGCCGACTCTATTCTCTGTGTATATCAATGATGTCGCTCTTGCTGCTGGTGACTCTCAGATCCACCTCTACGCAGACGACACCATTTTGTATACATCTGGCCCTTCATTGGACACTGTGTTAACAAACCTCCAAACGAGCTTCAATGCCATACAGCACTCCTTCCGTAGCCTCCAACTGCTCTTAAACACTAGTAAAACTAAATGCATGCTCTTCAATCGAACGCTGCTTGCACCCGCCCGCCCGACTAGAATCACTACTCTCGGCGGGTCTGACCTAGAGTATGTGGACAACTACAAATACCTAGGTGTCTGGTTAGACTGTAAACTCTCCTTCCAGACTCACATTAAGCATCTCCAATCAAAAGTTAGATCTAGAATCGGCTTCCTATTTCGCAACAAAGCCTCCTTCACTCATGCTGCCAAACATGCCCTCGTAAAACGGACTATCCTACCGATCCTTGACTTCGGCGATGTCATTTACAAAATAGCTTCCAACACTCTACTCAGCGAATTGGATGTATCACAGTGCCATCCGTTTTGTCACCAAAGCCCCATATACTACCCACCATTGTGACCTGTACGCTCTCGTTGGCTGGCCCTCACTACATGTTCGTCGCAAAACCCACTGGCTCCAGGTCATCTATAAATCACTTCTAGGCAAATCCCCGCCTTATCTTAGCTCATTGGTCACCATAGCAACACCCACCCGTAGTCTGCGCTCCAGCAGGTATATCTCACTGGTCATCCCCAAAGCCAACACCTCCTTTGGCCGCCATTCCTTCCAGTTCTCTGCTGCCAATGACTGGAACGAACTGCAAAAATCTCTGAAGCTGGAGACTCTTATCTCCCTCACTAACTTTAAGCATCAGTTGTCAGAGCAGCTTACCGATCACTGCACCTGTACACAGCCCATCTGTAATTAGCCCATCCAACTACCTCATCCCCATATTGTTATTTACATTGTTATTTATTTTTGCTAATTTGCACCCCAGTATCTCTATTTGCACATCATCTTCTGCACATCTATCACTCCAGTGTTAATACTAAATTGTAATTATTTTGCACTATAGCCTATTTATTGCCTTACCTCCATAACTTACTACATTTGCACACACTGTATATATATTTTCTGTTGTATTTTTTGACTTTATGTTTTGTTTTACCCCATATGTAACTCTGTGTTGTTGTTGTTTTTAATCGCACTGCTTTGCTTTATCTTGGCCAGGTCGCAGTTGTAAATGAACTTGTTCTCAACTGGCTTACCTGGTTAAATAAAGGTGAAATAAAAATAAAATAAACATGGAATGGAATCAAACACATGGAAACCATGTTTGGTACCATTCCACTGATTCCGCTCCAGCCATTACAACGAGCCTGTCCTCCACCCTGCGCTAGATACCTTTTATTCACTTATTGAAACATTAGCACCATGGTATGGTTTGGTTTGGGGGGGGGGGGGGGGGGGGGGGGGGGGGTAAACATATAATTGGCAGGTTTTAACCATATTTTGATTTTCTTCTGTCCCAAATACCAGAAAACCTCATGTAACTTCAAATCAAAACATGACAAATCTTGTAGTCTTTCTGTGATCCATTTAATCTCACAGCTTGTGGTGCACAAGGAACAAATAGAGACAGAGAATGGAGTTCCAATAATAAGCAGCTAAAATCATTTCTTTAGGATTAGATTTTTTTGTTGTTGCGCCGTAGATTTCCACTGTTTTTCCAATTATCTGTTGCTGTGGCGGGATAGTGGTCTGTTTACTGATTCTACTACTCACCTCCAGCCTCTAGGGGGCTCCACCCAACACGCGAGGGGCATGTTTGGCAATAGAAACAGGATGTTTGTTTTGGTACTTGCACATTTACGGTTACCTCATTTTTTCCATGTTTGGATTTGAAAAAATAAAAAAGCTAATATATATATATATATAAAAATGTTTCTTAATGCTATAATTTTTTCATTCCATTGGAATCATTGTTTGTAGCATTTAACTAGTTAAAGTGTATTATATATACACATCTGTATACTGATTGACATTTTTCAGATTTGTACTTTTTTTAAATGAAAGTTGCTAGTTCTGCTTTACCGAGTCGTGTGATCTTATTTTTTTTTTAAATAGTTGTGGCTGATTTGAGTTGTTCACTAATAAATGTATACCAATATTACCAAGCGCTTCTTTGCCTGTTTTCACTGTAATCACCAGAGTTGTCATGAATGCCAGGATTGTGTCCCAAATAGCACCCTATAAGTGCATTATATTTGACCAAAGCCCTAGGTTCTCATACTGTGCAGAGAAAAGGAACGTGATCTCGTGAGATCAGGATGACGGCCAAAATAAACTATATTTTCTTCACATTCAGCTCTGTAGCATTTTATGACTCATACACTACATTACCAAAAGTATGTGGACATCTGCTCATTAAACCTCTCATTCTGAAATCATGGGCATTACTATGGAGTTGGTCCCCCCCTTTGCTGCTATAACAGCCTCCACTCTTCTGGGAAGGCTTTCCACTAGATGTTGGAACATTGCTGCGGGGACTTGCTTCCCATTCAGCCACAAGAGCATTTGTGAGGTCGGGGCTCTGATGTTGGGTGATTAGGCCTGGCTCGCAGTCGGCGTTCCAATTCATCCCAAAAGTGTTTGATGGGGTTGAGGTCAGGGCTCTGTGCAGGCCAGTCAAGTTCTTCCACACTGACCTCTACAAATCATTTCTGTCTGGACCTCGCTTTGTGCACGGGGGCATTGTCATGCTGAAACAGGAAAGAGCCTTTCCCAAACTGTTGCCACAAAGTTGGAAGCACAGAATCGTCCAGAATGTCATTGCATACTGTAGCGTTAAGATTTCCCTTCACTGGAACTTGAAAAACCGCCCCAGACCATTATTCCTCCTCCACCAAACTTTACGGTTAGCACTATGCATTCAGGCAAGTAGCGTTCTCCTGGCATCCGCCAAACTCAGATTTGTCCGTCGGACTGCCAGATGGTGAAGCGTGATTAATCGCGGTGAGATGGTGAAGCGAGTCCAATGGCGGTGAGCTTTACACCACTCCAGCCGATGCTTGTCATTGCGCATGGTGATCTTAGGCTTGTGTGCAGCTGCTCGGCCATGGAAACCCATTTCATGAAGCTCCCGACGAACAGTTATAGTGCTGACGTTGCTTCCAGAGGCAGTTTGGAACTCGGTAGTGAGTGTTGCAGCCGAGGACAGACAATTTACGTGCTTCAGCACTCGGCAGTCCCATTCTGTAAGCTTGCGTGGTGTACCACTTTGCTGCTGAGCCGTTGTTGATCCTAGACGTTTCCACTTCACAATAACAGCACTAACAGTTGACCGGGGCAGCTCTATCAGGACAGACATTTTGACGAACTGACTTGTTGGAAAGGTGGCATCCTATGACGGTGCCATGTTGAAAGCCACTGAGCTCTTCAGTACGGGCCATTCTACTGCCAATGTTTGTCTATGGAGATTGCGTGGCTGTGTTCAATTTATACACCTGTCAGCAACGGGTGTGGCTGAAATAGCCGAATCCACTAATTTGAAGGGGTGTCCACATACTTTTGGTCATGGGTTTTTACTCATGGGTTAGCATAATACATTTGTTTTCTACATACCTAACAAAAATATTAAAACTGACATGGCTTCAAGGTTAGCAGAGTTTCTGTGGGCTGGTAGGAAGCCTGCGATTTATTAGACCAAGAGACCTGAGCACAGGAAAAGAGGACTGACTGACAGGAATATTATCAAAACCACCACAACATTTTAAAATGTTTAATTTATAGTTGTTGGAAAATGACATCTTTACATGACCAGCCCAGACTATGGGCTGACTGTTATACTATAGATGGGTAAAGCCACATGTCAAAGCTGTGGCTTCTTCTGGTTGTTGAACTGTGTTGTAGTTCTAAACTGAACTGTGTTGTAGTTCTAAACTGAACTGTGTTGTAGTTCTAAACTGAACTGTGTTGTAGTTCTAAACTGAACTGTGTTGTAGTTCTAAACTGAACTCTGGTGGTACGGAACTCAAACCTCGCCTGTTTGGTCGTCTCATGACAATCACATTATAGCGTCAACTTTGATTGAAAAAAAATATATATATAATAATAAAAAGTCGTGCTTTTTCAGCCTTGTTCTTTAAATATGTAACGTATATGTAACGTTCACATTGCTCTCCTTTTAAACAGAACCAAATTGAACTGGAGAGAGGTGGTGGTATCAGCTCTGCCAGGGGTAAATTATTTTGGGTTAGAGTTTTTGTTTCATTCTTTCAGACAGTGATCCCTTGTGCACAACGGCCATAAAAATAAAATTGTGAAGATACAACAAAAAAAAAAAAAAAACAGAACAGTTGTTTTCCCATGTTGGAGGTGGAGGAGAAGGTTAGCTAGGTGTCAATCGTCCGTGAGATCCTGAACAAAGAGGACCTCAGAACGGCTGAGGCCGGCCTCTTTCAGGCTGGGAGGATTGGGCTGCTCCTCCGTGGGAAGGCAGGGCAGAACCCGGCGAGGGAAGTTTGTTACTATCTGGAATTTCTCCGGGGTCTCCTTCAACGAGAACAGGAAGTCATATATTACCTGGAAACACAGAGGGAGAAATGGGTGAGATGCATGCTTTTTTTTTTTTGTCAAGACCATAAGTTTCATTGGTATACGCCAGGGGAGTTAAATCAAACTGTTAAAATAACACATGTAAGAGTGACTAGGAGTTTGCTGTGTAGAATTGGGAGTCAAGCCCCCACTGGTATGCACCGGGACAGTTAAAATGCCACCACCTGTAAGCTGACTTGAGCAGAGCTGTGTTCTTACCGTCAGAGACTGCTGGAAGAGGAAGCGCCTCTCTACTCTGGTGTCGTTAGGCAGTTTGAAAACTATCTTGACGCTGTCAGGGTCGTCTGCCGTGGGCTCGGGGGGAAGACATTCTGACTTGCGCTCCTTCTCTTCCTCCAGCGTCTAAAAACACAGAATTTGTGTCAAACTGGCAACAACAAAGTATTAAAAAACATAGGACCAAGACAAGAAACAGTTTTACTGTAGGCAAAGAGGAGTCAGAGCGTGAGAGAGTCCGTCCGAGAGCGAGCGAGGAGACAGAGAGAGTGAGCGAGGAGGCAGATAGTGTAAAAGACTCCTCACCCTCCTCCTCCTCTCCTCGGCCAGAACGGTCTGCCGGACCATCTCCTCCTCCGCCTGGACCTTCTCCTGCTCCTCCCTCTTCCTCCGGTCCTTCTCCTGGTCGGCTCTCAGCGACTCCAGGTAGGCATCGTCCTGCTGCGCCCGCAACACCTGCGTCTGGTTCCTCTCCTCCCTGGAACACACACACACACGCCATCCCATAAGGCGGCGCACAATTGGCCCAGCGTCGTCCGGGTTTGGCCGGTGTAGGCCGTCGTTGTAAATAAGAATTTGTTGTTAACTGACTTGCCTAGTTAATTAAAGGTTAAATAAATAAAAAAACACACGAATGGACACGGACACACAAAGTGATACGCAGGCACACACACGTTCTATTAACATAGTTGCTGAGGTCTAATTCAAATTCCAGGCACACCACATCCCTCCAGGACCAGAGACCATCTCCACATTTGTATTTTTCATTATAGTAAAATAAGCAATCAATTCAGACCTGGGTTTCAAATACATTAAAAAAACTATTCACATACTTTTGTTTGAGTTTGTCTGGAGTGCCAGATGGCCTGGACTTGCTATTGGAATAAACCCAGCTCCGTTCCTTACCGCTCCATGCGTTCAGACATCAGGTTGGAATAAACCCAGCTCCGTTCCTTACCGCTCCATGCGTTCAGACATCAGGTTGGAATAAACCCAGCTCTGTTCCTTACCGCTCCATGCGTTCAGACATCAGGTGGGTCTGATTGGCCTCCATGATGAAGGTCAGCTGGTTGAGGAGGTCCTCTGATTGGATGAGCCCCTCCAGACGTCCCACCACGGTCATCTTACGGTCCTTCAGCATGATCACGGCCAGGAACGGGTAGGTGTTCTCACGCAGCGCCTGGGACACTGAGGTACAGACACACACAGACACACACACAGAGACACAGAGACACAGAGACACACACAGACACACAAACCCAGCCAGTCAAAAACACACCAAACACAGATTAAAACGCTGATATAAAGTGATGGATGAAGAGATCCTGGATGAAGAGACCCCCCCCTCCTCATATCTTAGAGATCCTGGATGAAGAGACCCCCCCCCCTCCTCATATCTTAGAGATCCTGGATGAAGAGACCCCCCCCCCCCTTCATATCTTAGAGATCCTGGATGAAGAGACCCCCCCCCCCCTCCTCATATCTTAGAGATCCTGGATGAAGAGACCCCCCCCCCCTTCATATCTTAGAGATCCTGGATGAAGAGACCCCCCCCCCCCCTTCATATCTTAGAGATCCTGGATGAAGAGATCCCCCCCTCATATCTTAGAGATCCTGGATGAAGAGATCCCCCCCTCATATCTTAGAGATCCTGGATGAAGAGATCCCCCCCCCCTCATATCTTAGAGATCCTGGATGAAGAGATCCCCCCCCCTCCCCTCATATATTAGAGATCCTGGATGAAGAGATCCCCCCCTCCTCATATCTTAGAGATCCTGGATGAAGAGATCCCCCCCTCCTTATATCTTAGAGAGGACACTGACAAAAATCATCCAAAGTTCCAGCACAGATGATTGACTTTTATCTTTAACCCTTTTTGACCAGATGAAACTGACTGAGAACACGTCCTCAATTTACAGCAACAATAAAAGAGTATACAGGATGAGGCCTGTTCCTGTCCAGCTCCAGCAGACCCAGGTAGTGAAGACACGTGCAGGAGTAGACCATTACCTCTGTATCCCTCAGGCTTGCTGGTGGAGCAGGCCCAGAACAGCGTTCTGGTGTTGAGGAAGGTCTGGACCTCTTCTGTACATAACGTGGAGCTGGAAGGAAGATGGTAACAGAAAGAGGCACATCGTTAATATCAACTGTGAGAGGAAAGAAGTCCAAATCAACAAAATGTCTATAATCATTTATAATAATTATGAAGAATACCAAGCATGACACAAATAAGAAAACATGCAAGGAATACCTCCATTCAATCAACTGACTAAATATCCAAACCACCAGAACCTAAATTATAACTAGACCTCATGTAAATGGATCATAAAGTGATCATAAAATGGGACCTACCGGCAGAACTGGTCTGTATCCTGGTGGTCCTCTCCATGGAGGTAAACTAACAAGTAGCGAAGCTCACGTTTGGCATCATTCAATGCCTTCAGGGGGAAAACAAACACGGCTCACTGAATAACACTACCAGCTAATCAACCAAGTTACACACACTATACAGTACCAGTCAAAAGTTTGGACACACCTACTCATTCAAGGGTTTTTCTTTATTTTTACTATTTTCTACATTGTAGAATAATAGTGAAGATATCAAAACTATGAAATAAAACATATGGAATCATGTAGTAACCAAAAAAGTGTTAAACAAATCAAAATATATTTTATATTTGAGATTCTTCAAATAGCCACCATTTGCCTTGATGACAGCTTTGCACACTCTTGGCATTCTCTCAACCAGCTTCATGAGGAATGTTTTTCCAACAGTCTTGAAGGAGTTCCCACATATGCTGAGCACTTGTTGGCTGCTTTTCCTTCACTCTAAGGTCCAAACCATCTCAATTGAGTTGAAGTCGGGTGATTGTGGAGGCCAGGTCATCTGATGCAGCACTCCATCACTCTCCTTGGTCAAATAGCCCTTACACAGCCTGGAGGTGTGTTTTGGGTCATTGTCCTGTTGAAAAACAAATGATAGTCCCACTAAGCACAAACCAGATGGGATGGCGTATCGCTGCAGAAAGCTGTGGTAGCCATGCTGGTTAAGTGTGCCTTGAATTCTAAATAAATCACAGACAGTGTCACCAGCAAAGCACCCCCACACCATCACACCCCCTTCTCCATGCTTCACGGTGGGAACCACACATGCAGAGATCATCTGTTCACCTACTCTGCGTCTCACAAAGACACGGCGGTTGGAACCAAAAATCTCAAATTTGGACTCCAGACCAAAGGACACATTTCCACCGGTCTAATGTCCATTGCTCGTGTTTCTTGGCCCAAGCAAGTCTCTTCTTCTTGTTGGTGTCCTTTAGTAGTGGTTTCTTTGCAGCAATTCGACCATGAAGGTCTGATTCACACAGTCCCCTCTGAACAGTTGATGTTGAGATGTGTCTGTTACTTGAACTCTGTGAAGCATTTATTTGGGCTGCAATTTCTGAGGCTGGTAACTCTAATAAACGTATCTTCTTCAGAAGAGGTAACTCTGGGTCTTCCATTCCTGTGGTGGTCCTCATGAGAGCCAGTTTCATCATAGCGCTTGATGGTTTTTGCAACTGCACTTGAAGAAACGTTCAAAGTTCTTGAAGTTTTCCATATTGACTGACCTTCATGTCTTAAAGTAATGATGGACTGTCGTTTCTCTTTGCTTATTTGAGCTGTTCTTGCCATAATATGGACTTGGTCTTTTACCAAATAGGGCTATCTTCTGTATACCCCCCCTACCTTGTCACAACACAACTGATTGGCTGAAACGCATTAAGAAGGAAAGAAATTCCACAAATGGACTTTTAACAAGGCACACCTATTAATTTAAATGCATTCCAGGTGACTACCTCATGAAGCTGGTTGAGAGAATGCCAAGTGTGTCCAAAGCTGTCATCAAGGCAAAGGGTGGCTACTTTGAAAAATCTCAAATATAAAATATATTTTGATTTGTTTAACACTTTTTGGGTTACTGTGTTCTTTCATAGTTTTGATGTCTTCACTATTATTATACAGTGTAGAAAATAGTAAAAATAAAGAAAAACCCTGCAATGAGTAGGTGTCCAAACTTTTGACTGGTAATGTATATACAAAAGTATGTGGACACCCCTTCAAATGAGTGGATTCGGTTATTTCAGCCACACCCCGTTGCTGACAGGTGTATAAAATCGAGCACACAGCCATGCAATCTCCATAGACAAACATTGGCAGTAGAATGTCCTTACTGAAGAGTTCAGTGACTTTCAACGTGGCACCGTCACAGGATGCCACCTTTCCAACAAGTCATTTCATCACATTTCTGCCCGGCTAGAGCTGCCCCGGTCAAGTGCTGTTATTGTGAAGTGGAAACGTCTAAGATCAACAATGGCTCAGCTGCGAAGTGGTAGGCCACACAAGCTCACAGAACGGGACCTCCAAGTGCTGAAGCTCGTAAAAATCATCTGTCCTCGGTTGCAACACTCACTACCGAGTTCCAAACTGCCTCTGGAAGCAACGTCAGCACAATAACTGTTCGTCGGGAGCTTCATTAACTGGGTTTCCATGGCCGAGCAGCCGCACCCAAGCCTACGATCACCATGTGCAATGCCAAGCGTCAGCTGGAGTGGTGTAAAGCTCGCCGCCATTGGACTCTGGAGCAGTGGAAACGCGTTCTCTGAAGTGATGAATCCAGCTTCACCATCTGGGATTGGCGGATGCCAGGAGAACGCTACCTGCCCAAATGCATAGTACTAACTGTAAAGTTTGGTGGAGGAGGAATAATGGTCTGGGGCGGTTTTTCAAGTTCCAGTGAAGGGAAATCTTAACGCTACAGCAGACAATGACATTCTAGACGATTCTGTGCTTCCAACTTTGTGGCAACAGTTTGGGGAAGGTCCTTTCCTGTTTCAGTATGACAATGTCCCCGTGCACAAAGCGAGGTCCAAACAGAAATGGTTTGTCGAGATCGGTGAGCCCTGACCTCAACCCCATCAAACACCTTTGGGATGAATTGGAACGCCGACTGCGAGCCAGGCCTAATCGCCCAACATCAGCGCCCGACCTCACTAATGCTCTTGTGGCTGAATGGAGGCCAGTCCCAGCAGCAATGTTCAAACATCTAGTGGAAAGCCTTCCCAGAAGAGTGGAGGCTGTTATAGCAGCAAAGGGGGGGGGGGGGACCAACTCCATATTAATGTCCATGATTTCGGAATGAGATGTTCGACGAGCAGGTGTCCACATACTTTTGGTCATGTAGTGTAGGTTCTAAATGGATTGAATCAATCTGGATTCTGGAACATCTGCTTCCTTAAAACCATTTAGTCGGTTGTTCAATAAAATAAAACTTGGTGTCTCAACTTTTTGGGTAATGTTCTTATGCCTTCCAATATACTTCTTGTTTATGGTCAGATACTAGTAACCCAAATTGAGATTGAAACTGGACTGGGGAACCTGAGTAACACACCTGGCTATATGTTCCCTGGTAAAACACTGGATGCGATCGACCGTACTTCTCTTCAAAACTATGGATGAAAGAGACAACGTCACCCACAGGGTCTGTGACGCGTCCACGAGGGTCTGGCCTGACCCACCGCAGGGCAAACCTAGGAGAGGAGGAGGAACCAATCAGTCACCTTCATACAGAAACGTCAGGCAGCTCATGTTAATAACGGGAACTGATGGACAAATGCAGTTTCTTTGTATTACCTGAATATGTCCATAAGTGTGTAATATGTCAATCTGAAAGGTAGCATTATCATGTAGTAACTCCATCCTATTAATCCCTGAAAATGTAAGAAAAAGACCAGATGAGACATGATGGTGGGAACAGTGGAAAGATTCAATGAGAATACCACAGCTGGATGATTTCAGTTACAGAGTTGATTTCTGTAAGCAGAATGTTGCCCCACTGTGTATTTTAATGTCATATTGCAGAGTCTACCTTTTAAGTTGAGATGCAAGAACAATTTACCGCAGTTTCCCAGTGACACATGATCAAAAAGAAGAATATATGAGAGAGAGAGAGAGAGAGAGAGAGAGAGAGAGAGAGAGAGAGAGAGAGAATCTGTGTACGTACTCTGGGTTGTGGCCTGGAGACGATATAGCTATACACTCTGTGGTCTGCTGTGTTGACCTGTAAGGGTCTGGAGGGCGGAGGGTTAAACACACTGGGAACTCCTTCCTGCTCGTTCAGTCTGTCCTGCACCGCAGCCTGGGAACGCACACATCACATTATCCATTTGATCTCACCCTGGACAGCACAGGAAGACTCAACCATGACCATTTCAAAGAGCAGAGATCATGAACATTGAAGGCAACATTTGTCACGAGGTACGTAATTCATTCATAACAGTGCAACCACTGAGAAATGATTGTATTCACTGGGTGCATCACGACTTGTGGATTATGTAGTCTTCAAAGGCCCACTTCAAAAAGTTGCATTCTGGGTTTTTTTTTTTGGGTGACAGTTCTTACCTCAATGTTCCAATTGTGTTGTTCTAATGTGTGACGACATTGGTCCATAGACTCCAAGCCTGTCAAGTCCTGGAAATCAAATGCAAAAATCATAATTCTCAGATCTAACACTGGTGTACACGAGACTGGACAAATCTCCAATTGATAGGCGAGGATGTGAAGATAAAATAATAATATGCCATTTAGCAGACGCTTTTATCCAAAGCGACTTACAGTCGTTCGGGACAAACGAATTTATTCCAATAATTCCTACAAGCCATTTCCACATCTTGGGTCTGGATGAAACAGAGGGGGGCCTTACTAGGAACTAACCACCGTAACAGTTGTGTCTGATGATCACTCTAAAACCAACTTCCAACTAACAGTTAACAAACTAAGTAACGTTAGCGTTGCTGACCAAACAAACTGCTAGCTAGCCAACTGTCGTTAGCCTAACTAGCTAGTTGTCGTAAGTAAACCAAGTCCTGCAGATAACTTAAGTTCAAAATATATTTTCTAATTCACCATACACTGATTGAAGTTTGCTGATGTGTTTCTTTGGGGGGAATTGTCGGGAACGGACAAGCAATTCAAGACAATAGTTTGTATTGAAAATAATTGGTGTGTTGCTAGAAATAACGTTAGCTACCTGGCTTGTTAGCTAACGTTAACAGTGGCGCTAGGGGTATCAAAATTATCTTGTCAAAAAGCGTTTTTATAACCATAACGTGCTTTATTTTAAACTATTTCCTTCATATATCTAAACATACATTAATATGTAGTTATATATAAATTACTGTAAGCTGAAGAAAGGCTGACTACCTGAAATTGAAGGAGTTTTTCGGTCTGCGCCTGAGATAATTCCTGCACCTCTGGCGCCGCCATCTTACCTCGCTAACGATTCTTCTTCTTCTTCTTCAATGAGGTTTAACGGCGGTCGGCATCCAATTTGTTGCATTACCGCCACCTACTAGACTGGAGTACAACTCCCTTATATTTTGCTTGAAATATATAATAAAATAAAGAAATACCCTACCATCTAACACAACACTCACGAATTCAAAATTATTATTAATAATTAACACCACCCTTCTCCACTATTTAAATATATTAATTCCTACCTCATGCCCTCAACCTGAAATGATGGGACATCGCCACTTAACACTCCCTGTAACTCTTCTGATGTCAAGTCTAGCACACACACCAATACCTCTCTCCAGCTGCCACCACAACCTCAATTTTCTTCGACGTACGTTCCATCCCTGCAGTACAATGAATAACCATTGCTATAAACGCTAAAAATCCAATCTTACTGAAATAAATATAACTTCTTGGCCTATCCCTCTGTACTGGTACATACAGTGAGGGGAAAAAAAGTATTTGATTTTGTACGTTTGCCCACTGACAAAGAAATGATCAGTCTATAATTTTAATGGTAGGTTTATTTGAACAGTGAGAGACAGAATAACAACAACAAAAATCCATAAAAACGCATGTCAAAAATGTTATAAATTGATTTGCATTTTAATGAGGGAAATAAGTAGTATTTGACCCCCTCTCAATCAGAAAGATTTCTGGCTCCCAGGTGTCTTTTATACAGGTAACGAGCTGAGATTAGGAGCACACTCTTAAAAGGGAGTGCTCCTAATCTCAGTTTGTTACCTGTATAAAAGACACCTGTCCACAGAAGCAATCAATCAATCAGATTCCAAACTCTCCACCATGGCCAAGACCAAAGAGCTCTCCAAGGATGTCAGGGACAAGATTGTAGACCTACACAAGGCTGGAATGGGCTACAAGACCATCGCCAAGCAGCTTGGTGAGTAGGTGACAACAGTTGGTGCGATTATTCGCAAATGGAAGAAACACAAAAGTACTGTCAATCTCCCTCGGCCTGGGGCTCCATGCAAGATCTCACCTCGTGGAGTTGCAATGATCATGAGAACGGTGAGGAATCAGCCCAGAACTACACGGGAGGATCTTGTCAATGATCTCAAGACAGCTGGGGCCATAGTCACCAAGAAAACAATTGGTAACACACCACGCCGTGAAGGACTGAAATCCTGCAGCGCCCGCAAGGTCCCCCTGCTCATGAAAGCACATATACAGGGCCGTCTGAAGTTTGCCAATGAACATTACATTTACATTTAAGTCATTTAGCAGACGCTGTTATCCAGAGCGACTTACAGTTAGTGAATACCTATTTTTCTTTATATATACTGGCCCCCCGTAGGAATCGAACCCACAACCCTGGCGTTGCAAACGCCATGCTCTATCAACTGAGCTACATCCCTGCCGGCCATTCCCTCCCCTACCCTGGACGACGCTGGGCCAATTGTGCGCCGCCCATGAGTCTCCCGGTCACGGCCGGCTGCGACAGAGCCTGGATTCGAACCAGGATCTCTAGTGGCACAGTTAGCACTGCGATGCAGTGCCTTAGACCACTGCGCCACTCAGGAGTACATCTGAATGATTCAGAGGTGTTGTGGTCAGATGAGACCAAAATCGAGCTCTTTGGCATCAACTCAACTCGCCGTGTTTGGAGGAGGAGGAATGCTGCCTATGACCCCAAGAACACCATCCCCACCCTCAAACATGGAGGTGGAAACATTATGCTTTGGGGGTGTTTTTCTGCTAAGGGGACAGGACAACTTCACTGCATCAAAGGGACGATTTGTACCGTCAAATCTTGGGTGAGAACCTCCTTCCCTCAGCCAGGGCATTGAAAATGGGTCGTGGATGGGTACTCCAGCATGACAATGACCCAAAACACACGGCCAAGGCAACAAAGGAGTGACTCAAGAAGAAGCACATTAAGGTCCTGGAGTGGCCTAGCCAGTCTCCAGACCTTAATCCCATAGAAAATCTGTGGAGGGAGCTGAAGGTTCGAGTTGCCAAACGTCAACCTCGAAACCTTAATGACTTGGAGAAGATCTGCAAAGAGGAGTGGGACAAAATGCCTCCTGAGATGTGTGCAAACCTGGTGGCCAGCTACAAGAAACGTCTGACCTCTGTGATTGCCAACAAGGGTTTTGCAACCAAGTACTAAGTCATGTTTTGCAGAGGGGTCAAATACTTATTTCCCTCATTAAAATGCAAATCAATTCATAACATTTTTGACATGCGTTTTTCTGGATTTTTTTGTTGTTATTCTGTCTCTCACTGTTCAAATAAACCTACCATTAAAATTATAGACTGATCATGTCTTTGTCAGTGGGCAAACGTACATGCTATGTGACTCGAAATTGAGCTTAGGTCAAATCAAATCAAATCACATTTTTTATTTGTCACATACACATGTTTAGCAGATGTTATTGTGGGTGTAGCGAAATGCTTGTGTTTCTAGCTCCAACAGTGCAGTAATATCTAACAATTCACAACAATACACACAACCAAAAAGTAAAATAATGGACTTAAGGAATATATAAATATTATAAATATTAGAATGAGCAATGTCGCGCCTTTCTTCTTCCCAGAGAGTTCTTTAGTCCTGTCTGTACTGAGAAACCAGCTGGCTGCATGGACGGGGACAGTATATCCCGAGAGACCCATGTTTCTGTGAAACAGAGTATGTTACAGTCCCTGATGTCTCTCTGGAAGGAGATCCTCGCCCTGAGCTCGTGTACTTTATTATCCAGAGACTGAACATTAGCGAGTAATATACTCGGAAAGCGGTGGATGGTGTGCATTCCAAGTCCACTCCGAATTCCTCTTCTCCCCCGGCGGTGTTTTGCATCAGCCTCTGGAATCAGTTCAATTGCCCTGCTGGTGAGTTACCGCCGCTCTGATATCCAAAAGTTATTTCCGGCTGTATGTAATAACACAAAACATTTCCTGGGCTAATAATGTAAGAAATAACACACAAAAAAAAAAAAATAATACTGCAACGTTGCTTAGGAGCTAGAAGCAGAGCTGCCATGTCTGTTGCTGAGGAGCTAGAAGCAGAGCTGCCATGTCTGTTGCTGAGGAGCTAGAAGCAGAGCTGCCATGTCTGTTGCTGAGGAGCTAGAAGCAGAGCTGCCATGTCTGTTGCTGAGGAGCTAGAAGCAGAGCTGCCATGTCTGTTGCTGAGGAGCTAGAAGCAGAGCTTCCATGTCTGTCGGCGCATCCTGTTTCCATTGATCATCCTTGGGATGTTTCTACAACTTCATTGGATTCCACCTGTGGTAAATTCAATTGATTTGACATGATTTGGAAAGGCACACACCTGTCTACATAAGGTCCCAAAGTTGACAGTGCATGTCAGAGCAAAAACCAAGTCATGATGTCGAAGGAATTGTCTGTAGAGCTCTGAGACAGGATTGTGTCGAGGCACAGATCTGGGGAACGGTACCAAAACATTTCTGCAACATTGAAGCTCAGTGGCCTCCATCTTTCTTAAATGGAAGAAGTTTGAAACCACCAAGACTCTTCCTAGAGCTGGCCGCTCGGCCAAACTGAGCAATCGGGGAGAAGGGCCTTGGTCAGGGAGGTGACCAAGAACCCAGAACCCAATGGTCACTCTGACAGAGCTCTAGAGTTCCTCTGTGGAGACAGGAGAACCTTCCAGAAGGACAACCATCTCTGCGGCACTCCACCAATCAGGCCTTTATGGTAGAGTGACCAGACGGAAGCCACTCCTCAGTAAAAGGCACATGACAGCCCGCTTGGAGTTCACCAAAAAGGCACCTAAAGACTCTCAGACCATGAGAAACAAGATTCTCTGGTCTGATGAAACCAAGATTGAACTCTTTGGCCTGAATGCCAAGTGTCACGTCTGGAGGAAACTTGGCACCATCCCTAGGGTGAAGCATGGTGGTGGCAGCATCATGCTGTGGGAATGTTTTTCAGCGGCAGGGACTGGGAGACTAGTCAGGATCGAGGCAAAGATGAATGGAGCAAAGTACAGTTAGATCCTTGATGAAACCCTGCTCCAGAGAGCTCAGGACCTCAGACTGGGGCGAAGGTTCACCTTCCAACAGGACAACGGCCCTAAGCACACAGCCAAGACAATGCAGCAGTGGCCTCTGGACAAGTCTCGGAATGTCCTTGAGTGGCCCAGCCAGAGCCCGGACTTGAACCTGATCAAACATATCTGGAGAGACCTGAAAATAGCTGTGCAGCGACGCTCCCCATCTAACCTGAAAGAGCTTGAGAGGATCTGCAGAGTAGAATGGGAGAAACTCCTCAAATACAGGCGTGCCAAGCTTGTAGCATCATACCCAAGAATACATTGGTCATTTAGCAGACGCTCTTATCCAGAGCGACTTACAGGAGCAATTAGGGTTAAGTGCCTTGCTCAAGGGCACATCGACAGATTTTTCACCTAGTCGGCTCAGGGATTAGAACCAGCGACCTTTCGGTTACTGGTACAATGATCTTAACCACTAAGCTACCTGCCGCCCAGCTGTAATCGCTGCAAAAGGTGCTTCAACAAAGTACTGAGTAAAGGGTCTGAATACTTATGTAAATGTAATATTTCAGTTTTTAATTTTTTATAAATTAGCAAAACATTCTAAAAACCTGTTTTTGCTTTGTCATTATGGGGTATTGTGTGTAGATTGATGAAGGGAAACAACAATTTAATCAATTTTAGAACAAGGCTGTAACGTAACAAAACGTGGAAAAAGTCAAGGGGTCTGAATACTTTCCGAAGGCACTGTATCACTGACTTCTGACCAATCTTTCCTTTTCTCTACCAAGGTTAGATCAACAACATGATCTGGGAGTAACCACGGAGGAACATCCCCTATCACCACAGAAGGGCCAACCTTCAACTCCCTCAAACCACTCTCATCAGCAAGCTTTCCAACTGTCCAACCAAAACCACTGCCTTGTCTACTAGTATATTCCCAACAGTCATCTAGAATAGTAGGGTCTGAATACTTTCCGAATGCACTGTACCTAAATGTGAAGTAAACTCAACTGAGTAAAAGAGAATGGAGACATTTAACTTGAAAACGTGCAGGATACCTCTTTCCGGTTTCCCTGACTTCCGGTTTTTATACTGTGTTGTGCTTGTTCTCGTAGCACTCCTCACAGGCCGTTTGGTGTACGGTTTTTTTTTGATGGTGAGATGAAACTGCCAAAACTCTGAAAGGTATTATTGTAAGTCAGAATCAGTGGCGACCTGTCATTCAGGCTAAACACCGGTAACTTAGTGTGGTGAAGTTTTCTTTAGTTTAGGTATCATTCTGTTATCTGAAAAATGGCCAAGGGAGGCCTTGTCATAACTTATGATTAATAAGATCATGTTTTATTTTACTACGCTTTTCAAGTTTCAAACACGTTGCAACACCTTTCTTTGCATTGATAAATGTGGTCAAAGGTGGCCCAACAGAATCCTCTGCGTTATAGCATGTGATATTTACGGAAGCCCTCTAATTAGGTCATCTCTCATATTTTCAACATCTTCGTTCCAAACCGTTCCCCCTTCCTCTGTAGCTAGCAACCATAGCTTTGGGAACAGACCGTCTGCAAGCATGGCTGCTGCCGCTACCCCGGTTGTCCCTGAACAGTCGGCGACAACAACGACCCATTTACCAATGTTCGACATATCCAAACCCCCCGTTATAGAAGGATTTACACCGCTGTCGCGACCCAGAGAAGAGACGTTCCAGGAGAAGTTTATGAGGAAGTCGAAGGAGAACCCCTTCGTCCCTATAGGTGAGTTGCGTAATGAGTACTGTAACTCAAGTTAAAATTGTCCACAGCTGTACCTAGTCGGCTTCAATGCATACTATTAATACGTTAGATGATTCATTCGTTGAATAGACTGTCATTTGGTCATTCATGTGGCGGCTTACGACCAAGAGACAACCGTGTTGTAGCTAGTTAGCTAACTATGTTTAACTCGTTTGCTAGCTACAGCAGGGAACAGCATACCATCAACTTTAATTTGGTACAGCCAGCTACAGTTTTTAATAAGATGTGTCATGCGCAGTGACCTTGTGGACCTAATAAGGTACACTAAAAGGCCTCAGCATTGATTATTTTTATTGGAACATAGACTAGTGTTCCAAGCCCCATTATGAAACATTACAGGGGGCATAATGCCCTTGTCAAGGAGTTTCATAATAAACATGTATTATAATGGTAAACTAGTGCAATCAATGGGTCATACCCTACACTGGTAGACCAGTGGACAAACTGTCTGTATAACATAGTTAGGTATTGAACATTTATGTGAATATAACATCGGGAACTGCTCCACATTGGGCATGCTCTCTCTGTAGCTGTAATTTCCCCTGTGGTTACAGGATGAATTGCATACACAATCAGGCCTAAAATATCTTAAGATTTACAGTGGTCAGGGTGCTTGACCTTTTACAGTACTTTGATTGTACACCTTCATAGACCCTCCGTCCTCCAAAACAGAACAGAGAAGCATTGGGACCACTGTGAAACCAAATGGAAGCTACTGAATGCACCTCTTTTCACACCCGCTGTTTTCAGACTGGTTATGGAAAACCTAATTGTTTTGGTTTTAATAAAATCGATATTCTGCGTCTCTCCCCAGGTTGTCTCGGTACAGCTGGAGCGTTGATGTACGGTCTCCGAGCCTTCAAACAAGGCAAGACCCGTCAGTCCCAGCTCCTGATGAGAGGGCGTATCTTCGCACAAGGCTTCACCGTCGTCGCTATCATCTTCGGCGTGTTCGCCACGGCTCTGAAGAAAGACTGAGCAGCGTCAGGGTTGTATTCATTACTGCAAAACCGTAGCAAAACGTTTTGCAACGGAAAAAGAAAACAAGGTTTCTTATTAGACAAGTTCTGCCAGTTTATCCATTCCTTTGGAGAGAACTGTGGTGGTGAATGAAATGTTGTTTGAATGTGTTGTTTGAATGTGTAGAAAGACTAACGGAACAGATATTTAAAACTTACTTATTTTCTCTCTCCTGTTTCTGGCCTCCCTTAACTGTGCTTTGGGCTGGTCCAGTCAAATGAAATGTACACCCTGTCCTGCAGATGGCAAAGCAAGCAGGGCACTGACTGCCTTGAGTTTAAAACATAATTGTGTAACTGTATAATTGAAGTGCAATGCAGCCATCCACATATGTTGAAAAACATCTCTGGGTTGGAGGAAATGGGCCAGCCGACCCACTACCGCTTGCCTCTCTGTTAGTGAGATCCACCTCTGTATAATACAGATCATTATTCCAAGACTCGGAACCACCTTTTTAGCACCGTGTATTGTCAGTTCCACAAACCATGTATTGGCCATGTGAAGTGAAACACAGAGCATTGTATCCTCACACACGCAGGGTACATGCCTGCCCCTTTATAAACATGTAAAAGTGAATTGTTTGTGTGTTGTAATACTTGAGAGAAAGATGGCGCATCGGTGGAGCATCTGGCTCTTAGGACCAATAAAGCGGTTAAGGGGTGTTAAAGGGACTGGGGAAAGATGACCTGCCACTGTGGGGCGCTGGTAAGAGAGGCAGAGGTTACAACTCAGGGATTTTCTAGTGCATTCTCCAGGAAGTCTATGGTCTTGAGTCTTCCCAAGTACCCCCTGTGTATCGTACACAGTCTTATTTAATCCTCACACAAACCCTTTGCTTGATAAAGACATTACCAAAAACAGGCAGATTTTAGAGATCGTTTTTATTGACGGACAAAGAGTTTCAGTTCCCATGTAACATTCTCTCACCTGTGTGAGGATGAATGATGACAAGGCCTAATTGGCTGATCACAGATTCAGAGGCAACGCAGTTGAAAATGAAGGGGGAAGTGTTTGAAAATATGACTCAACATCAGACTAGTGTTCATTCGACTGTGTACAACATGTTAATGCCATTCAAGATGTATATTATTGGCCATTATATTATTCTTAAAAAACAACAGTGGCTGCGGATCCGACTTTCACTGGACCTTTCTTCCCCGGGTGCTGAAGGGGTTCCGGAAGATTCTGCACGCGTGGGTGTTCTCTACGTCCACAGTCTCAGCAGGCTACTCTGATGAATGGTTTATAAATCGTTTAATAACGTTAGATCAAAGCTGAATCAATGTCCGCAAGATCATAATGATAGTATTCTACAGAACCCAATAGCACAGTAAAACGTTACTGGAAGACAAACGCCCTAACTTCTTATGAGATTTTAGGACGATTGTGTGAAATGGTTGCATTTCTCTCTCACGCAGCCATAACTCAACAGACTGCCTTGTCTAGCCTGGTCCCAGATCGGTTTGCGCTGTACTGCCAGCTCCTATGGTCATTGCGTAGAAAAAAAGGGTCATTGTCACGTTTGGCAAGACCGCACAAAACAGATCAGAATGCCTGGCTATAAAAAAAAATAGTTGAGCGTGGGAAGGAAATTAATCTTGCTAAAAGTATAAACAGTGACAGGAGTTCAGGAAGGCCACAAGCTCGTAGCGTCTCACATTTCAGGACAAATTACTAGCCAATGAATAGGTGAATCAATTCTTAATTAAAAACAAACAGGCATCGGTGGTTTCCAATCTCCTAATGTAGTGCCCGAACAGGACTGGCTAGGTTGGACCTCACACATTACATCAAAATTAAAATTACAGTCGAGATTAACGATGAAACCTAATCCGTTATTTTATCAAATACAAAACACTTCATCCAAAATATTGGGAGAGATGCATCATGCTTAAGAGATAGGGGGCATTGGGTCAAACCCCTAAGTTTGAGAGGGAAGGAGTTGAATAAAAGATTTTCTTAACATCAGTAATGTAGTGGTGAAACAGAAGCATTGCTGAGGGAAGGTAAAAGGACAGAGAGCGGTCAGTCAGTCCTTCATCTTAATAAGGTTAGTGAGGTATATTATATCAACTGGATACATTCAAATCAGAATAAGGAAATATGGCAGGAGAGTGTAAATACCTTTCCTCCAAAAGTTGGAGACATAGCAGAAAACAGGAGGGTCTGAACATAAAAGAAACCCTACACCAAGAGTAGATCTACAATATATGAGAAGAGCCTAGTACACATTCTGCCTTAATGCAAACAGGGTTCATAACTCATGAGCAGGCGTTTTAAAAGGAAGGGAAACAGGAACCATCATCACCACCCCTCCGTTCCATTGGCCCGACTAGCGGACCAGAGGTGTCTGTTTGAGGGCTATGAGGACAGAGCGCATCCGGGACACGTCCTTGGCTGTCTTGTTGGTCTTGGGGTTGAAGTCACAGAGATGGGCCACTCTCTCCCACTCCGTCCCTGGGCTGTCACCGTCAGCCTCAGACAGGAAGGCCTCTTCAGATGCCCTGGAGGAGGGGAAGGAAAATATGGATGAGGTGTTGGACAAGCTGTTTAAGGGCTGGTTTTCCGGACACAGATTAAGCCTGGTCCTGGACTAATAGACATTCAGTGGAGAATCTCCTTTGAGATCATTTTATTCCAGGACTTAATCCATGTCAGGAAAATCTTCCCATAGAGTTTAGCACCACTGACATGACATGCTTTTGCAAACAGTACCTACTGCCTAAACACACTAACTTTTCAAAACACAGACTCACAGTGAGAGTACATTTGACTAAAACCTACACACAGAATTGGAAATAGGCTACATGCATTTCTGGCAAATGATCACAACTGAAATACAATGAACACTGTTGTTGTGATTTATGGACCTAGTCAAATACACAAATACAGTCCCTCCAAGACCCAAAATGGAGCCTAACTTATGCGTTATTCACTGGTTTATTTCACAGTTGGGACATGCAAACAAAGTAACTACAGGTAAACAAACAGAGGTAGAATGCCAAGACAATACTACACCAAAAGCAGAAGAGTTCTAAAAACCTACAAAAAGTTTATCACTTCAGAGTTGGGCTGTTTGTAGAAAGTCTTATCAGCAATCCTAGTGTGCAGAGGAAAAGACAGCAGAAGAAGAAGAGAGATGAGTCAGCGTCACACAACAGGTAGAGTTATGAGTTGTTAGGACAGGAAGCCATGGTGACAGAAGAGAGGAAGTTCCATCAGACTGAGTACAAAACATTGTAGAATGACCAGGTGAATCCAGGTGAAAGCTATGATCCCTTATTGATGTCACCTGTTAAATCCACTTCAATCAGTGTAGATGAAGGGGAGGAGACAGGTTAAAGAAGGATTTTTAAACCTTGAGACATGGATTGTGTGTGTGTGTGTGTGTGTGTGTGTCATTCAGAGGGTGAACGGGCAAGACAAAATATTTAAGTGTCTTTGAACGTGGTATGGTGGTAGGCGCCAGGCGCACCGGTTTGAGTCAGCTGGGTTTTTCACGCTCAACGGTTACCCGTGTGTATCAAGAATGGTCCACCACCCAAAGGACATCCAGCCAACGGCAGCCCAGTGGTTGAAAATGGGTCATTGATAAAAGAGGACAAAAGGAAGCTGACACGAGTTGCGCAGAGCAACAGACGGGCTACAGTTAGTTAACTGACAGACCCATAAAACTAATGCACAACTCGTTGTACCTTGAAAACGAATGGGGTATGGCAGCCGACCACCTTACAGAGTTCAATTTCTTTCAGCAAAAAACAAGAAACTGCTGTTACAGTGGGCTAAGGAACTAAAACACTGGAGAATTGGAATAACTTTGCCCCGTCTGATGAATCCTGGTTGCTGCTGTTTCACGCTGATGGGAGGACTAGGGTACGGAGAAAACCTCATGAGTACATCCATCCATCATGCCGCGTGTCAACATTGCAGGCTGGTGGTGGTGGGATGGTGTGGGGTGTGTTTTCATGGCACACATTGGGCCACTTGATAAAAGTGGAGCAACGTTTGAATGCCACAGGATATCTAAACATCATTGCCAATCAGGTTGCATCCCTTCATGGCAGCAGTGTATCCATCTGCAAATAGATTTTTTTCCAGCGGGATAATGCCCCATGCCACAAGGCTAGGATTGTCCAGGAATGGTTCCACGGACACGACAGTGAATTCAGCTTACTGCAGTGGCCTGCCCAGTCACCAGATCCCAATCCAACTGAGCCTCTGTGGGGATGAGATGGAACGAGCTATTCGGAGTAGAGATCCACTACCAGCCAACTTGACACAACCGTAGGAAGCATTGGAGTCAACATGGACCAGCATCCCTGTGGAACACTTTCGACACCTCGACGGGTCCGCGCCCCGACGAATTGAGGCTGTGCAACTCGACGTCAGGACGGTGTTCCTAATGTTTTGTACAGTCAGTGTTTCGGACAATACTATTCCATTGTGTTACGAATTAAAAACACAAAATAGTCTCAGTCATCGTAGTGCATTCAGCAGTCAGCAGTTTAGACTGGAGAATGGCCAGATACACTGCAATGTGTCAGCAGTTTAGACTGGAGAATGGCCAGATACACTGCAATGTGTCAGCAGTTTAGACTGGAGAATGGCCAGATACACTGCAATGTGTCAGCAGTTTAGACTGGAGAATGGCCAGATACACTGCAATGTGTCAGCAGTTTAGACTGGAGAATGGCCAGATGCACTGCAATGTGTCAGCAGTTTAGACTGGAGAATGGCCAGATGCACTGCAATGTGTCAGCAGTTTAGACTGGAGAATGGCCAGATACACTGCAATGTGTCAGCAGTTTAGACTGGAGAATGGCCAGATACACTGCAATGTGTCAGCAGTTTAGACTGGAGAATGGCCAGATACACTGCAATGTGACAGCAGTTTAGACTGGAGAATGGCCAGATGCACTGCAATGTGACAGCAGTTTAGACTGGAGAATGGCCAGATACACTGCAATGTGTCAGCAGTTTAGACTGGAGAATGGCCAGATACACTGCAATGTGTCAGCAGTTTAGACTGGAGAATGGCCAGATACACTGCAATGTGTCAGCGGTTTAGACTGGAGAATGGCCAGATACACTGCAATGTGACAGCGGTTTAGACTGGAGAATGGCCAGATACACTGCAATGTGACAGCAGTTTAGACTGGAGAATGGCCAGATACACTGCAATGTGACAGCAGTTTAGACTGGAGAATGGCCAGATACACTGCAATGTGTCAGCAGTTTAGACTGGAGAATGGCCAGATACACTGCAATGTGACAGCAGTTTAGACTGGAGAATGGCCAGATACACTGCAATGTGTCACCAGTTTAGACTGGAGAATGGCCAGATACACTGCAATGTGTCAGCAGTTTAGACTGGAGAATGGCCAGATACACTGCAATGTGTCAGCAGTTTAGACTGGAGAATGGCCAGATACACTGCAATGTGTCAGCAGTTTAGACTGGAGAATGGCCAGATACACTGCAATGTGTCAGCAGTTTAGACTGGAGAATGGCCAGATACACTGCAATGTGACAGCGGTTTAGACTGGAGAATGGCCAGATACACTGCAATGTGTCAGCAGTTTAGACTGGAGAATGGCCAGATACACTGCAATGTGACAGCGGTTTAGACTGGAGAATGGCCAGATACACTGCAATGTGTCAGCAGTTTAGACTGGAGAATGGCCAGATACACTGCAATGTGACAGCAGTTTAGACTGGAGAATGGCCAGATACACTGCAATGTGTCAGCAGTTTAGACTGGAGAATGGCCAGATACACTGCAATGTGTCAGCAGTTTAGACTGGAGAATGGCCAGATACACTGCAATGTGTCAGCAGTTTAGACTGGAGAATGGCCAGATACACTGCAATGTGTCAGCAGTTTAGACTGGAGAATGGCCAGATACACTGCAATGTGTCAGCAGTTTAGACTGGAGAATGGCTAGATACACTGCAATGTGACACTTCTAAGTCAATGTAAGTTCTCTTTACTTGACATATGGGTACATCCCAAATGGCACCCTAATCCCTATATAGTGCACTACTTTTGACCAGAGCCCTATGGGACCTTGGAGTAGTACACTATATAGTGAACAAGGTGCAAATTGGGATGCAGCCTGTTTTGGTTTTCTATATCCCGGCTGCGTTGGCCCGGATGCAGTCCAGCGCTAGCCTCTCTCCAGGGGGTCATCGTTAGTGCTCACAGTCACAGGGGCATTACGGCAGGAAAGAGAGTTGTAGTTGCAAACCGTTACCTTGCCAGACTTAGACAAAGTCTGTTGGGAAGCATGAGAGAAGGTTGGTTTCAGTACAGGAAAGCAAAGGACCCCAGGGAATAAAATATGTTTACGACAGAGAAAGAAAAGCAAACTGGGAGAGAAATACTTTTGATAGTAATTGAAGTGTAGGATTACAGAGGGCATTCAAATAGTTAATTAATAGTTAGTTGAACATCAGTTAATAGTTAAATAAATTATGAAAATCAATACAAACGCAATGAGAAGTTACGTGTCATTTAGTTAGCTCAAAGAAATAAGGTTGAGATCCATCCACCTTCCTTAGTTTATATGACAGTTCAGATTTATTACATTTCAGCGTGGTGACATAGAAATAGGACACAAACTGATCTCTGCATTTCTTACCCATCCTAAATAAAATGAGCAACATCTTTCTGATACAAAAAGCAGGCCAACAAAACATTGGAGCCCTGGAGGGCAGCTCAGCTATCACAGTTCCACGTTTCCACTCAGTTTAGGCCATTTACCAAGAAATCCTGTTCACATTATTATTATTATTATTATTATTATTATTATTATTATATATTAGGTACATGAATAAAGTCAACTTTCTGTGACAGTCTATAGAAAGTCTTTAAGCCTATGCTTAAATATCCTATTTCCTGATCTGATCTCACGGAATAACAAGGAAATAACCACAGAAACACACATTCTGATCACACCGTTGCTCTTAATTCTCATAGTGAACTATCACAGATACATTCAGATTCATTAGATGCATATTTTGTCTTATTTATTTTGTATATAGTTACACACGTCTGAACTTGCATTTCCTGTTATGTTAGTTTTGAGGGAACCATGTAGGAACTAAAAACAGAGCTATGTAGGAACTAACCTGTTGTTGGCCTTGTTCTTCTCCATCTGTTCGATCTGGTGCACATGCCAGTCCTCCAGCTCTAGCTTGGCCCTCTCTTTCCACTCAGCCTCCGCAGCCTTGGACGCAGAGTCTTCAGGGTTCACATGCACACAGGGAGATGGGTGATGGTATGATCAATACAGAATCAACAGAATGGGCACAATACCAGGGTCATATTCAGTAGGAACGAAGCGGAACGGAAACGGGCAGGACTACCTGAATTTGTCCAATAAGAATTGCTTGTTTTCGTTTTTTTGCTACGGGGTGTGCACTAATGAACACTACCCAGGATGAAAGGTTTCAGTCCGCAATGCATTGTATGATCTACAGAAGGAGGTGCTCTTTTCTCAAGAGATCAACGATAGAGTCAATACAGCGAGAACAAGACCAACTCATCCATACAGCCCATGCCAATACACTGAGTGGAACCCAAACGAAGGGTGGCAGACTAATCAACTAGATTTTAAAAAAAAAAATTTTGCAGGTCTTTTATTTTGCTTTTTTTTAGCAGGCAGGGGGAAATGTGACATTTAGGTGTCAACCTTCGTCAATGTGGACAAAATACTGACTGAAGTCAGTGGTAGATACTGTATGCATCGTAGTAGTAGTAGGTATAGTTGAAGTTAGGAAGTTGACATGCACTTAGGTTGGAGTCATTAAAACTTGTTTTTCAACCACTCCACAAATTTCTTGTTAACAAACTATAGTTTTGGCAAGTCGGTTAGGACATCTACTTTGTGCATGACACAAGTAATTTTTCCAACAATTGTTTACAGACAGATTATTTAACTTATAATTCACTGTATCGCAATTCCAGTGGGTCAGAAGTTTACATACACTAAGTTGACTGTGCCTTTAAACAGCTTGGAAAATTCCAGAAAATTATGTCATGGCTTTAGAAGCTTCTGATAGGCTAATTGACATCATTTGAGTCAATTGGAGGTGTACCTGTGGATGTATTTCAAGGCCTACCTTCAAACTCAGTGCCTCTTTGCTTGACATCATGGGAAAGTCAAAAGAAATCAGCCAAGACCTCAGAAAAATAATTGTAGACCTCCACAAGTCTGGTTCATCCCTGGGAGCAATTTCCAAATGCATGAAGGTACCACGTTCATCTGTACAAACAATAGTACGCAAGTATAAACACCATGGGACCACGCAGCCATCATACCGCTCAGGAAGGAGACTTGTTCTGTCTCCTAGAGATAAACGTACTTTGGTGCGAAAAGTGCAAATCGATCCCAGAACAACAGCAAAGGACCTTGTGAAGATGCTGGAGGAAACAGGTACAAAAGTATCTATATCCACAGTAAAACGAGTCCTATATCGACATAACCTGAAAGGCCGCTCAGCAAGGAAGAAGCCACTGCTCCAAAACCGCCATAAAAAAGCCAGACTACGGTTTGCAACTGCACATGGGGACAAAGATCGTACTTTTTTGAGAAATGTCCTCTGGTCTGATGAAACAAAAATAGAACTGTTTGGCCATAATGACCATCGTAATGTTTGGAAGAAAAAGGGGTAGGCTTGCAAGCCGAAGAACACTATCCCAACCGTGAAGCACGGGGGTGGCAGCACCATGCTGTGTGGGTACTTTGCTGCAGGAGGGACTGGTGCACTTCACAAAATAGATGGCATCATGAGGAAGGAAAATTATGTGGATATATTGAAGCAACATCTCAAGACATCAGTCAGGAAGTTAAAGCTTGTTCGCAAATGGGTCTTCCAAATGGACAATGACCCCAAGCATACTTCCAAAGTTGTGGCAAAATGGCTTAAGGACAACAAAGTCAAGGTATTGGAGTGGCCATCACAAAGCCCTGACCTCAATCCTATAGAACATTTGTGGGCAGAACTGAAAAAGCGTGTGCGAGCAAGGAGGCATACAAACCTTACTCAGTTACACCAGCTCTGTCAGGAGGAATGGGCCAAAATTCACCCAACTTATTGTGGGAAGCTTGTGGAAGGCTACCCGAAACGTTTGACCCAAGTTAAACAATTTAAAGGCAATGCTACCAAATACTAATTGAGTGTATGTAAACTTCTGACCCACTGGGAATGTGATGAAAGAAATAAAAGCTGAAATAAATAATTCTCTCTACTATTATTCTGACATTTCACATTCTTAAAATAAAGTGGTGATCCTAACTGACCTAAGACAGGGAATTTTTACTAGGATTAAATGTCAGGAATTGTGAGAAACTGAGTTTAAATGTATTTGGCTAAGGTGTATGTAAACTTCCGACTTCAACTGTAAGTCTGAAGTAGCTGTGTGTCCAAAATGGCACCCTATTCTCTTTATAGTGCACTACTTTTGACCAGAGCCCTATGGACTCTAGCCAAAAGTAGTGCACTATATAGGGAACAGGGTGCCATTTGGGCTACACATCAGTCTCTGTTGTTTACTTACCTAGCTGCTCCAGCCGTGCCTTCTGCTCCTCCCTCCACTTACGCAGGCTCTCAGGCTCTGCTCTCAGAGAGTCCACCTGGGCGATGGCCGCATAGCTGTCCGATGGACCGTTGGACTCCTGGGGGGAGAAGAACCAGGACCAGGCATGAGACATAAGGACCACCAGTCATAGGCTGCGTTTACACAAGCAGCCCAATTCTGATCTTTTGCCCAATAAGTGGGAAAGACCTGATCTGATTGGTCAAAAGACCAAATTAGTGGGAAAGACCTGATCTGATTGGTCAAAAGACCAAATTAGTGGGAAAGACCTGATCTGATTGGTCAAAAGACCAATTAGTGGAAAATAATCAGAATTGGCTGCCGTATAAATGGCAGCCATAAAAGACACTCGTCCATTATGAACTGATGTATACTAGCTTTTGGTGCTTGGTTAGAATACACCAGACCAGACTCGTCCATTATGAACTGATTATACTAGCTTTTGGTGCGTGGTTGACTACACCAGACAGACTAGTCCATTAGAACTGATGTATACTAGCTTTGGTGCTGTGGGTTAGCATACCCAGACAGACTAGTCCATTATGAACTGATGTATACTAGCTTGGTGCTGTGGGTTAGACATACACCAGACGACTAGTCCATTATGAACTGATGTATACTACCCTTTTGGTGCTGTGGGTAGACATACACCAGAAGACTAGTCCATTATGAACTGAGTTAACTAGCTTTTGTGCTGTGGGTTAGACATACACCAGACAACTAGTCATTATGAACTGATGTATACGCTTTTGCTGTGGGAACTCAGCAGATAAAGATTGGTGCTTGGGTGAACAAAAGCTATCCATTATGAACTGTGTATACATTTGTATTAACAAATAATGTATTTGACTGATGTATACTAGCTTTGTGCTGTGGGTTAGACATACACCAACAGACTGTCCATTATAACTGGTGTATACTGTTTTGGTACTGTGGGTTACCCACATAATGCATTTAATGTCAAATAAATAAATACAACGAAATCCGTGATAATTTTTAAAAATAATCTAACCGAAACAACCTCAAAAAGCACTAATCGCTCAGCACTAATAAGGCATGAGGACCACCAGTCCATGGGTCATTCAATAGTAGCAGCTGAACACTGAGGAGCAAATGCAGGAAATCCTTAAAGGGCGGCTGAACTTCCTGATTTGGCCTCGTTCTAGATTTGGCTCATTAAGAAATACCAGTGGCCATGACAATTCAAAAGTGAGTTGGTTTTGGGTGTCTCGTGTGTGTGTGTGTGTGTGTGTGTTCGCAGGTGGGAAGAGTTAGCCAAATTCTTTCGCCAATTACAGTGGGGGAAAAAAGTATTTAGTCAGCCACCAATTGTGCAAGTTCTCCCACTTAAAAAGATGAGAGAGGCCTGTAATTTTCATCATATGTACACGTCAACTATGACAGACAAATTGAGATTTTTTTTCTCCAGAAAATCACATTGTAGGATTTTTTATGAATTTCTTTGCAAATTATGGTGGAAAATAAGTATTTGGTCACCTACAAACAAGCAAGATTTCTGGCTCTCACAGACCTGTAACTTCTTCTTTAAGAGGCTCCTCTGTCCTCCACTCGTTACCTGTATTAATGGCACCTGTTTGAACTTGTTATCAGTATAAAAGACACCTGTCCACAACCTCAAACAGTCACACTCCAAACTCCACTATGGCCTAGACCAAAGAGCTGTCAAAGGACACCAGAAACAAAATTGTAGACCTGCACCAGGCTGGGAAGACAGAATCTGCAATAGGTAAGCAGCTTAGTTTGAAGAAATCAACTGTGGGAGCAATTATTAGGAAATGGAAGACATACAAGACCACTGATAATCTCCCTCGATCTGGGGCTCCACGCAAGATCTCACCCCGTGGGGTCAAAATGATCACAAGAACGGTGAGCAAAAATCCCAGAACCACACGGGGGGACCTAGTGAATGACCTGCAGAGAGCTGGGACCAAAGTAACAAAGCCTACCTTCAGTAACACACTACGCCACCAGGGACTCAAATTCTGCAGTGCCAGACGTGTCCCCCTGCTTAAGCCAGTACATGTTCAGGCCCGTCTGAAGTTTGCTAGAGTGCATTTGGATGATCCAGAAGAGGATTGGGAGAATGTCATATGGTCAGATGAAACCAAAATAGAACTTTTTGGTAAAAAACTCAACTCGTCGTGTTTGGAGGACAAAGAATGCTGAGTTGCATCCAAAGAACACCATACCTACTGTGAAGCATGGGGGTGGAAACATCATGCTTTGGGGCTGTTTTTCTGCAAAGGGACCAGGACGACTGATCCGTGTAAAGGAAAGAATGAATGGGGCCATGTATCGTGAGATTTTGAGTGAAAACCTCCTTCCATCAGCAAAGGTATTGAAGATGAAACGTGGCTGGGTCTTTCAGCATGACAATGATCCCAAACACACCGCCCGGGCAACGAAGGAGTGGCTTCTTAAGAAGCATTTCAAGGTCCTGGAGTGGCCTAGCCAGTCTCCAGATCTCAACCCCATAGAAAATCTTTGGAGGGAGTTGAAAGTCTGTGTTGCCCAGCGACAGCCCCAAAACATCACTGCTCTAGAGGAGATCTGCATGGAGGAATGGGCCAAAATACCAGCAACAGTGTGTGAAAACCTTGTGAAGACTTACAGAAAACGTTTGACCTGTGTCATTGCCAACAAAGGGTATATAACAAAGTATTGAGAAACTTTTGTTATTGACCAAATACTTATTTTCCACCATAATTTGCAAATAAATTCATAAAAAACCCTACAATGTGATTTTCTGGATTTTATTTTCTCATTTTGTCTGTCATAGTTGACGTGTACCTATGATGAAAATTACAGGCCTCTCTCATCTTTTTAAGTTGGAGAACTTGCACAATTGGTGGCTGACTAAATACTTTTTTCCCCCACTGTAGCTTCAGCCAGCTGGTGTACAACTGTAGCAAAGTTGGTTTGACTTTGAATAGCCCATCTCTGGGGCTAGGTTAGGGACCGTCAATAAATTACACAGTGTAAATGAGACAATATTTTCATGTTACACACCTTTCATTTCTCATTAAATGCTTTCAACATCTGTATATTAATTTATACAATGTATAGTTGGTTTGAGGTTATTAAGTCATTGAAATCTGGAGGTATTGGAATTTAATATATTGTCCCATGTAGGCTTGTGTAATTTACTGATGGTCCCTAACTAGCCCCGTTGGGATTTTCAAAGTCAATGGGCATTATGATGAGGAAGCCTTGCAGCTGCACTCCGAAAAGATGATTACTTGTGGGCTGCCAGCTATGGGCAGGAATTAAACAAACCCAACCTTCATTTACGTAGTGACATACTCTGGTACAAAACTCTGTTTTGGAAGAGACTAACTTTATGACCAGAATGATCCTATTTACACTTTGTAGTCAATATTGACAGTATAATACATTTTTCAAACTAATATCGCTGCCACATAGGCTGTTCTCTAAAATATCAATTGTTTTTAGGGGCAGTAGCTAACATTATCCAAGCAAGTTCCTCTTGTCATGCTTCCTTTAACAACCATTTACTTGTTAACAATTCACTTACCATTGAGAAAGAGGTACCTATTTCAGGTGTGTCCTCATCTGCTACAGGTACAGACTCACTTAGTTAGCTGCCGCCTCACTTACAAAACTAACCTGCAATAAAACATGTCCAAGAACATTTGTATATAAATGTGTTCTTCTCTTACCAGCTCAAACATGTCTCCGTTTACAGTGGCTGCTGATGCTTCTGCAAACCCGGCATCTGGCAGATGAAACAACACAGAAACGGCTTTAAATAAACCTCATCTGACATGCTTTGCATTATGTGAACCTAGTGTCATCATTTGCTTTCGAGGGGTGGATAGATGGTGACAAGAATGCAGGAACACCTGTTTGGGCAGTAAGGTAAACTAGTTTCTCACCACCACCATATTGGCTAACCTTATTTGGCCTGAGGATAGTTTCAACACGTTTCACAATCACATTCAAACAAGTATATCATCATCGTTCAACTCAGGCTGCGTTGTGCTGCTCCAACTAACGTTACTGTTTACATTGACAGCTGTCAATTAACTAACTAGTTAGCTAGCTAGCTAACTAACTAAAAGCCAGGCTAACTTAGCTAGCTAACTAGCTAGTTGTCTGGTAAGAATTAACTACCTAGCTATGGTACTAATACAAGTGACTTTTGTTGTCTTCATTTATGTACTTTTAGCTTGGGAGTTAGTTTAGCTAACATGCTAACTTAGCATAGCTAGCAACTTACCGTATTCTACAGCAGCAGGTGAATCGGTTACCGGCGGTTGCTGGAGAAGCTCAACGGATCCGTCCAAAGCACCGAAACCTTCGTCGTTATTCTCTATCACCGCTATTTCGCTTTCTTGCTGGGCTAAGAAAGCTGCTGCTGGGTCCACCTCGACAGGCAGCACTCCGTTGTCAGACGCGAACCCGAAATCTGCATCAGCCATCTTTCACAAAAAGTGAAAAATGTAGCTTGCCACTTGACACCGCTAGCTAACGTTATATTATTGCTTGTTATCTTGCTGGCTATCAATTAATTCAGCTGAGAGAGAAGAGTTATGATGATGGATATATCTGAATCAGGCAGAACATGCAACTAACTGAACTTTTCATGAATGGATGTCAGCTAATAGAAGAATGAATAAGGACTAACGTTAGCAAGCTTGTGTCTGTGATGATTCATGATTGCTCATGTTGAACTCGCCTGGCCTGCCACACGGACATCCAACTGTTGGTTTATTAGGACGTGTCTCCATCTGCTGGTGAAACCTAGAAATGCACTCTCCTATTTCCTAACTGGTATCTGAAGTTAAACGTTTTCTGCTTGCCGATTAGGCTATTATGTATAAACATTTTCTATTTGTTAGTATAGAAGAGAATAGTATTGGAATAAAATAGAATAGAATTAGAATGCAGTACAATAAAATATTTTTATATTTCCAAAAGTGTCCGTGGAAAATAAAACCTTTCTGGATAATCAGAGTGATCATTTTTTGGTCATGTGGTGGCAATTGATTGATTATTTTTAGTCGCCTTTACATATTTCAGAATAGATGGGAAATAGAGTATATAGGGAAAAAGCGATAGCTAGAGTCGCCGGTGTGCCACCTCTCTCATAGGAGAGCACAGACATATGGCGGGGATAGCCTACCCCAATGTGTATGGGGAGTGATTCAGGTCAGAATTCAGCCTAGGCAACGTTACCACCGTGTGGCTGTCGCCTACCATTGAACGTATGACTGACATGACGAGATACCAACGCCTTACTAACATCTGCGTGATGCCTACTTGTTAATTAAAGTAATAAGGTGCATAGTTTATATTTATGTGAATTAAATCTCAACCATAAATGTTAGAAACGTACCGTTTTCCCCGTGCTAGCCGACATTCTGTTGTAGCCACATTGAGCTATAGTTTAGCCTACGGCTTGTGTATTTCCTGTTATCACGGCCTAGAAAAGATTATGTCCAATCAATAGGTAATCAGGCTTTCCCTCAACACCACATGGGATGGTATGTTATCTTATCTCGCTGTATAATATCTTTTTTAATAATGCGTTCAAAACATCCTTTGTTCGTACCCCCCTGGGCAATTGAACTTATCCCAGAGGCTGCTCCAAGACGCCGCCGGCGGAGAAGAGGTATTCGGAGTGGACTTCCAGTCCGACTCAGGAGGCGCGCACACCATCCATCACTTCAGAGTATATTACTCGCTAATGTTCAGTCTCTGGACAATTAAGTAGACGAGCTCAGGGCGAGGATCTTCTTCCAGAGAGACATCAGGGACTGTAACATACTCTGTTTCATGGAATCATGGCTCTCTCCGGATATACTGTCCCTGTCCATACAGCCAGCTGGGTTCTCAGTACATTGCGCAGACAGGAATAAAGAACTCTCTGGGAAGAAGAAAGGCGATGGTGTATGTTTCATGATTAACTACTCATGGTGTGATTGTGAAAATGTACAGGAACTTAAGTCCTTTTGTTCACCAGACCTAGAATACCTCACAATCAAATGCAGACCGTATTACCTCCCAAGAGAATTCTCTTCGGTTATAATCACAGCCGTGTATATTCCCCCTCAAGCCGATACCACGACGGTCCTCAAGGAACTACACTGGACTTTGTGCAAACTGGAAACCACATATCCTGAGGCCGCATTTATTGTAGCCGGGGATTTTAACAAAGCAAATTTGAGGAAAACGCTACTGAAGTTCTATCAACACATTGACTGTAGTACTTGCGCATCAAAAACCTGCGTCCTCAGAGCATGCGCAGACCAGCTGGCTGGAGTGTTTACGGACATATTCAATCTCTCCCTATCCCAGTCTGCTGTCCCCACTTGCTTCAAGAGGGCCACCATTGTTCCTGTACCCAAGAATGCAAAGGTAACTGAACTAAATGACTATCGCCCCGTAGCACTCACTTCTGTCATCATGAAGTGCTTTGAGAGACTAGTCAAGGATTATATCACCTCCACCTTACTTGACACCCTAGACCCAATTCAATTTCCATACCGCCCCAATAGGCCCACAGACGATGCAATCGCCATCGCACTGCACACTGCCCTATCCCATCTGGACAAGAGGAATGCCTATGTAAGAATGCTGTTCATTGACTATAGCTCAGCCTTCAACACCATAGTACCCTCCAAGCTCATCATTAAGCTCGGGGCCCTGGGTCTGAACCCCGCCCTTCGCAACTGGGTCCTGGATGTCCTGACGGGCCACCCCAGGTGGTGAAGGTAGGAAACAACACCTCCACTACGCTGATCCTCAACACTGGGGCCCCACAAGGGTGCGTGCTCAGCCCCCTCCTGTAACTCCCTGTTCACCTATGACTGTGTGGCCAAGCACGCCTCCAACTCAATCATCAAGTTTTCAGACAACACAACAGTAGTAGGCCTGATTACCAACAATGACAAGACAGCCTACAGGGAGGAGGTGAGAGCCCTGGTGAAGTGGTGCCAGGAAAATAACCTCTCCCTCCACGTCAACAAAACAAAGGATGTTATTGTGGGTGTAGCGAAATGCTTGTGTTCCTAGCTCCAACAGTGCAGTAGTATCTAACAATTCACAACAATACACACAAATCTAAAAGTAAAAGAATGGAATTAAGAAATATATAAATATTAGGATGAGCAATTTCTGAATGGCATTGACTAAAATACAGTAGAATACAGTATATACAGTGCCTTGCAAAAGTATTCATCCCCCTTGGAGTTTTTCCAATGTTGTTGCATTACAACCTGTCATTTAAATTGATTTTTATTTGGATTTCATGTAATGGACATAAACTAAATAGTCAAAATTGGTGAAGTGAAATGAAAAAAACAACTTCTAAAAAATAAATAACGGGAAAGTGGTGCGTGCATATGTATTCACCCCCTTTGCTATTTTTATTTATTATTTAACCAGGTAGGCCAGTTGAGAACAAGTTCTCATTTACAACTGTGACCTGGCCAAGATAAAGAAAAGCAGTGCGATAAAAACAACAACACAGAGTTACATATGGAATAAACAAAATGTACAGTCAAAAACACAATAGAAAATCTATATACAGTGTGTGCAAATGTAGTAAGTTATGGAGGTAGGGCAATAAATAGGCCATAGTGCAAAATAATTACAATTTAGTATTAACACTGGAGTGATAGATGTGCAGAAGAAGATGTGCAAATAGAGATATTGGGGTGCAAATGAGCAAAATAAATAACAATATGGGGATGAGGTAGTTGGGTGGGCAAATTACAGATGGGCTGTGTACAGGTGCAGTGATCGGTAAGCTGCTCTGACAACTGATGCTTTGAAGCCCCTAAATAAGATCTGGTGCAACCAATTACCTTCAGAAGTCACATAATTAGTTAAATAATGACATGATCTCAGTATATATACACCTGTTCTGAAAGGCCCCAGAGTCTGCAACACCACTAAGCAAGGGGCACCACCAAGCAAGCGGCACCATGAAGACCAAGGAGCTCTCCAAACAGGTCAGGGACAAAGTTGTGGAGAAGTACAGATCAGAGTTGGGTTGTAAAAAAAAATCCCAAACTTTGAACATCCCACGGAGCACCATTAAATCCATTATTAAAAAATGGAAAGAATATGGCACCACAACAAACCTGCCAAGAGAGGGCCGCCCACCAAAACTCACGGACGAGGCAAGGAGGGCATTAATCAGAGAGGCAACAAAGAGACCAAAGATAACCCTAAAGGAGCTGCAAAGCTCCACAGCGGAGATTGGAGTATCTGTCCATAGGACCACTTTAAGCTGTACACTCCACAGAGCTGGGCTTTACGGAAGAGTGGCCAGAAAAAAGCCATTGCTTAAAGAAAAAAATAAGCAAACACGTTTGGTGTTCACCAAAAGGCATGTGGGAGACTCCCCAAACTTATGGAAGAAGGTACTCTGGTCAGATGAGACTAAAATTGAGCTTTTTGGCCATCAAGGAAAACGGTATGTCTGGCACAAACCCAACACCTCTCATCAGCCCGAGAACACCATCCCCACAGTGAAGCATGGTGGTGGCAGCATCATGCTGTGGGATTGTTTTTCATCGGCAGGGACTGGGAAACTGGTCAGAATTGAAGGAATGATGGATGGCGCTAAATACAGGGAAATACTTGAGGGAAACCTGTTTCAGTCTTCCAGAGATCTGAGACTGGGACGGAAGTTCACCTTCCAGCAGGACAATGACCCTAAGCATACTGCTAAAGCAACAATTGAGTGGTAAGGAGAAACATTTAAATGTCTTGGAATGGCCTAGTCAAAGCCCAGACCTCAATCCAATTGAGAATCTGTGGTATGAGTTAAAGATTGCTGTACACCAGCAGAACCCATCCAACTTGAAGGAGCTGGAGCAGTTTTGCCTTGGAGCAGTGGGCAAAAATCCCAGTGGTTAGATGTGCCAAGCTTATAGAGACATACCCCAAGAGACTTGCAGCTGTATAGTTATGCACGCTCAAGTTATCTGTTCTTTTGTCTTATTTCTTGTTTATTTCACAAGAAAAAATATTTTGCATCTTCAAAATGGTAGGCATGTTGTGTAAATCAAATGATACAACCCCCCCCCCCCAAAATATTTTTTAATTCCAGCTAACAAAATAGGAAAAATGCCAAGGGGGGTGAATACTTTGGCAAGCCACTGTACTGGTGGTAATATAACGGGGTATTGATCAACGTCAACAAACAAAGGATAACCTATAGCTATTCACCTAATGACACTATAAATGGACCCTATTTGTCTGGAGACAGAAACATGCCTTTAGTGCATCTTGCCACACACCCATTCCCTCCTTCTTGTCTAGACATTTGTTTTTAATTATACTCAATACAGTGAGGGAAAAAAATATTTGATCCCCTGCTGATTTTGTACGTATAATTTTAATGGTAGGTTTATTTGAAGTGAGAGACAGAATAACAACAAAATAATTCCAGAAAAACGCATGTCAAAAATGTTATAAATTGATTTGCATTTTAATGAGGGAAATAAGTATTTGACCCCCTCTGCAAAACATGACTTAGTACTTGGTGGCAAAACCCTTGTTGGCAATCACAGAGGTCAGACGTTTCTTGTAGTTGGCCACCAGGTTTGCACACATCTCAGGAGGGATTTTGTCCCACTCCTCTTTGCAGATCTTCTACTTCTTCTACAGATCAAATACTTTTTTCCCTCACTGTAGCCTAATCTTTACAAGGAATAGGCCTTAAAAACGTGGTCAGGTATAAAGCAATAGTGTACATTGGTG